AAGATTGTTAAAAGTAAAAGGAAGGAATATAAAGTTGATTTATTTGATCAAAGTTAAAATAGATACATTTTACATACAGTCTCTGGTAACCCTTAATGGACTTTTGCTGATCAGGACTGAATGATGAGGCTGTAAGGATTTGTATATAGATAAGAGATGGGATATGGGAAGAAGAGATCATTTGCTGTATTTTAAGAGAAGGTGTTAAGTTACTAAAATTATTTATACTTGTGATGAAGGCAGAAGTCATTTCTTTATATATTTCTTTTATTTTTCTTTAATATATTCTTATTTTTTATTTCTTTTCTATTTCTTTTCTGCACTTTCTATTTTTTCCTTTCCTTTTTTAGTTTGTATTAGTTTTTATCTTTTTAACTGTAATGTTTAATAAAATTATTATTAAAAAAAAGATGGTGGATGCAACCAAGGAATAAAAGCCCCCCCCCCTTTCTTATGTGCAGTCATAATACATTGACTTTTTGACCTCATTGTGGTCTCCTCTAGCTAGCGTCGTGTTGCACACATAGTCACTCTATTTTTTTCTCCTGGAGTTAGAATTTGTACCTTTTTAAATCCCCGTTAAGTTTATTTTGGTACTAAAGACAAGAGGGCTCTGGAGATCACAAAAATGGGATGCAGGTATCATATGCTGCTCGAGGGCCCACACCTGCTTTATAAACCCCACCCCCCAGAAGTTTTTCAAAGGGTACAGGGAGTGCAAATAGAAGATAGGAAAATATTCATGGATGAAATTCCATACAAGGAAGAAATGGAGAGAAATATATGGAACAGAATCCCATGTTTGTTTTTCCTGCCCCACCCTTTTCTTTAAACCTTGACATACTGATTTATTTATGACTCTTTTATATCACCTCAATTGTATTCAGCACTAAGCAGGTGTACTTCAATGCCTGTTCTCTGTTGTTCTGGACACTAATATTCAAGGTTTATTGCCAGAACACAGTGAACTTGAGAGTGATACTATCTTCAAGACTGGCACACAATGTATTCTTCATATAAGGAATTAATAAACGTGCTACTATAAGTTAACTTAGATGGCTTTTTAAAGATTTAGTCACTTCAAGTTATTTATACTAAATGCAAAGTTAGAGACAGAAGGTCTTGGATTTATCAGATGTTGGACATGAAAGAGACGGGCATGGCTGCTCGATACTCTGAAAGCAGAATGCTAGGCTGACAGATTCAAATTAAGGCAAGGACAGTCTCTCAATAACAGAATATACTCTTTGCATGCAGAAGCCCCCAGGTTCAATCCTCCAGCATTTCCAGATAAGGGTTGATAGCCCTTGCCTAAAAGCCTTGAGAGCTGCTGTTAGTCAACGTCAACAGTGGGCTAAATGAATTAACGGACTGATTTGGTGTAGGGCAACTTCTACTGTTCTCATCCAGGGCCAGCAACTGTTCCAAAACATGCTGTTACTACTGTGATTGCTTCTATAACATTGTAGAGCCACAGTGAAAATAAAGAACGCTGTGGAGAATATTCTGCTACCTTTGTATATGTGGCATTAGGAGAAAGGGCTATAAACTCATCTGTGAAACTAAACAATTGTCTATGCAATAAATACATGAATAAAAAGCCTCCCTTTTACAAAAAGAATGATTTATTTCCAGTTAGGGCCTTGTGTTAGAGAAAGAGAGGAAGCCTGTCTTAATGCAGCTATCAGGGCAAAAAAACCCCTCAGGAACAGGGAGCCTGTGATCTTCTGCAGGGGCATAGTATTGTCCACTTAAAGGGCACACGCATGCACACACACACACCTTACCTAATTGCCAAAATTGCCATTCAGGGGACTTACCCATATTCCTACAGCTATGACAAAGATGAAATAAACGACAACAACAACAATGTCAGGAACTTCAAGAGCAAAACTCTTTTCTTCAAGCTTGTCATTGAGTGGCTGAGTTGGTGCTGATGTCTGGCTCATGACTGTTGAAAAGTGTTGGCTGTTGCCCGAACAATTCACAATGGACTTTGGCACTTTTCCTTTATTACTCTCCCTTAATAAATATTAACAGATTTGAAAAAGTAAAAGTGTTAATGAAACAACTAGGTAATCTATCCAATTGTACCAGTTCTTGGCATTTCACAGTCTTCAGCTTTACTGACCCCATGATATGGATCTGAATTATATACCTTGTATAACTGTAATATGTGAATTAATTGCATAGCTTTTTTTAAGAACTAGGGGAATTGCCCAGAACA